TTCAACCTCGCATGGATCTCATCTGCGCCCCTAACGGGTATCGAACATAGCCTGGATGAAAATAGTTATTGGTAAACATTACCATGTGAAATTGAGTGGAAACATGAAACTACTCATAGGACTGTGGCAAAATACAGCACATAGTAAACGCTAGCTGAAGATATTTAGTTATAGTCTCTTTGTGTGCCTCAAGAGTAGTACAGATTATAAGTAGCAATTTGTTAGATATCTACACCACAGAAGATAGGCATGCTGAGCAGTTGCCGCAACGGAGCTTTAAAAATGAATATTTTTTCAAAAATACAGTAATTTTTTAATAAGTCCATGCTTACACTATGTCGTCTAAGGTGATTTGTAAACTTATTGTCGAGTTTATATAGCTTTAAAATGAATATACTTAGGACGCTATCAAATTTCCAATGGTTATGCCTTCCGGAATATTTTACGACTCTTTGGACGAGACCTGAACGACGAGGAAATCTTCTCGGATCCAAGTTCAAGTAAAATTTGCTGAAATATTGGGGCCTGCTAGTATTATTGTTGGTAAACCTTCACTAATATAAAAACGGTATACACCCTAATTCATATATGAGGATGAAGAACTGTAAATTGAATTTCTGCTTTACAAAAGATATTTTCATCTGAATTGGACTACAATTTTAATCTTCTCGTCTAGTACATCATCGTCTTGAAACTAATAATGGGAATACAACATGAATATGAGATCTAATGATAGTCATAGAAACCAAACTTAGGAAACGATTGCTATAGCAAATTCAATTGTGCTTCATCGACAATTCCACAAAAGAATTGTGTTTTAGGAAAAGCCTAGGCTTCTCGTGGCCCAAGAGCACTCTTGGAAGTCTTGTGTAAGGGTTAAGTTGTCAAAACACCACTAAAATTTGATTTCGAGTCCAGTTGAGTTGGATGATGAGACCCAGACTAAATTGTTATTTAAAAAGGGATTTGAACATATGATACAATGTGACCCAGTAAACTACACGAGATACGTATGAAGACAAGTTGGATTTCGAGAACTCACCTGATTCACAACTGGTGAATTTACCTCCCTTTTGAGTAAAAGTGTGTGATGAAGGGACTCGAGGATTAAGCCCACCTTCCGTGTTAGACGAAATTGTACAAAATCGGACGTTCCGAAGCTTTTTTATCGGTCCCTTTAACACAAAACACTAAATTCAAATTATTGAATAGGATAATATCATTGTTACTAATAAAGCAACACAAGATTTGAGTTTAGTGGCAAGTAAATGCTTTCCGGTGCCGGCACTTGGCCATACGCTAAAATGCATTAATTTTATGTCTTTAATGATCATATCGCAGGAATATAAGGTGAATTTCCTAACTCCTGAGCTGTATATGCTAAGCCCGAATCTCGTTAGAAGCGTTTATCACGTCTGGCTGGATAAGAGTCTATTTATAATGTGAAAAGTGAAGAAACCGCGATTAATATTCAGTTTAAAAGCAGGTTTTCGGGACTACTAGTAGATCTCATATAAGAGCTGTACTCACACTATTTCGTTTATCTTGATAAAGTAGCTTAAACAAAATATGGTAGATAGAGCTCTTCTATAAGCCCTACCTCTAGCCTCGAAAACATTATACACGGAAAATATGCATAAATACATACTTGCCTACTTACCTACTTACTATTTCACTTTTCTGCATACATAATTTAATAAAAACATTCATTTGTCTAAATTCATATATATTCATTTATATTCATGCATACATATACACGAACTTACGTGGGATGTAAATGAATACTAAGTATGGATAGCTAGGAAGTATAATTTTTTCTTTCATCTCGTCTAGCACAAAAGACAAGCCAGTCAGTGTTCAGGGTTCAGAGACCCATGCACCATAGACTGGTCCCAGGTGGCAAGGTATGATTTCGATATGAGTAATTTACGAGGCAAGGATTCTATCTTAATCACCTTAAATGAAATAGGACGAACCCAACTTATATAAAGATTTTATCTCACTTTCTATTGGAGTTTCCTTTAGCTGATTGTGATCCCATCATTCTCATTGTGTTTTACTATATGGCTTACTCTTGATTCCGTGCATGTGGTTCACTTTTAGCGCTCTTTCACTCTGGTCCTCGAAGTCTACGACTTGGCAGCGTCGAATCGGCACCTGATTGACCGCGCTGTCCACAAAGGCCTTCTCTTTCCGGAGCCGGGCATCCCGCGTAGCCAAAGTGGCAACACGTCAACTCGGTCGTTATGGCATCAGGCCACCCTCTCCAACCGACTCTCAATCTACAACTTCTACATGCGTCTTGTCTGCGCACCATACCACTACAACAACACGTGCACTCAAGTCTGTGATCCAACTGTGACGCCTGAGAGGTACAAATGCGACACGAACGGAAACAAAATCTGTGAACCCGGTTGGAGCGGCCAGGAGTGTGGAACCGGTAGGCTGACAACTTTTCAGACAAGCAATTTTCGAAGCCATTTGTGATTTTTTGCGGAGAAAGCTGATAGTCTCGAAAACTGGGTATATCCAAAATAAGTATCGTCGTCGATTAAAATGGCAAGCACATGCTTCAGATGTGTTTAGCCCACTTCGTTTGAGATGATGAAAGACTTGTGGTTAAATTTTTCCACAATGATTTGAGTAGACCTTGAATTTCACATAGCCCTTTCAACCAGGGCAGACTGCAGACTGCAGCTTCGACTTCGACTAGTTCTTATCAAAACACCTCGAGGGACTCGAACTATAACACTGCAGCATATAATCTAGACACGTTAACCACTCCACCACATTGCCATGAATGTCCTTGGGTCACAGTAAAGAGGCGAATTTCAAGGAAGGCCAGGCATTTCCATATATCACACCCTTTGGTGGGACTGGCGATAAAGCAAAGTTGTCTTTGCGATAGCAATCGAGTACGGCATTTGTGTTTCGTTGCTAAGTAGGCTTTCGAGACTGCCAGTAGGTCAGTTAAGTATAAGTGATCCATGCACCTCATATCGGTCTAGTCCATCGAGTTGGGAAAATATTACGGGATATAAATTTACAAACATCCGAATATTTATTTATAAATGATCTGCTAATAGCCTTGAAAACCTACTTAGATTCGGAACATAAGTAAGGTGGTCGATTGTTATAACAAATACAACTTTGCTTCATCGACAATCCCACCAGAGAATATGATATGGAAAAATGTTTAGCCCTCCTTGAAGTTCACATTTGCCCTGTGACCCACGGGAACTCGTGCAAATTTGTCGTAGTGGTTAGCGTGTCAAGACTATACTCTGCATTATCACGACCCAAGTTCGATTTCCGGTGAGGATTTTGATACGATCTAGGCGTGATCGAAACTGCAGTCCACTCCAGCCTGGATGCGAATTTCTTTTTAAAAAATGAAAGCTATATCAAAGTCATTGGAAACGTAAGGTCTGCATATATATTTGTACAGAAAGTCATCTAAAACGAAATTTGGTAAATACACTTCATATTTAAGCATATGACTACCTAACTGACGAATCTTTTTATACAAATTTTAATTTAGTAGAGGTCTGGCTCGGCTTCCTTTTTTATTCAAGAACCATTTTTAAACGAGTTCAAAACTGTCTCCTACCTTATCCTGGCCGAGATAACCTTTTTGGAGGCAATGATATCTTGAGACCTACTCATCTACATGTGGGAAAATTCATCTTGAGTCAATAAGGGTGACTAAATTCTTAATAAGGCTGACGATTTGTACATATTTGCTCTCCGGATACCAGTCGGGTCGATTAGCAGCTCATAGATGGTCTAAATGGACCATTTGTAGATGTATGAACCACATGGTTCATCTTCTTTTAACAATTATATCAATTATAATGAGTTTATTATTCCGCCAAAACTATGTAAGTAAGGATTGTTGTCGTTGTTGTTGTTTCATTTGTTTGTTTTAATTGAAATTGCCCAATCTCAATAATACTCCTTTCGAGTTGAACTTGAAATTGAACGGGTTACTGCAAAGCTATGCAGACCAAGTTGGTATCGCCCATATTTTAGTCGAAATATCCTTTTCTAGGTAGGCTATGAAGATTACCGATAGATCTTCTCTTTTATGCACACATAGGATTATAAATTTTGGGAAGCAAGGCTGTCTGAAATTCTATAGAAACATGAGACCTATTTGTCAGATTGTAGGAAAATTCAACTGATGTTCCTTCATCGTCTTAAATAAAATAGGGTGAATACAGCTCTAACACATTCTCCTTTCAGTGTCTACACGTGGTTTAACTATCTTTTTGCGTTTTAGTTGTTCTGACAAATATATATCAAGACCATCACAACGTGTAAAGACTGCTTTACCTTAGTAGTCATGCAAATCTTCAGCTGCGTAAAGCCTAACTGGCAAGTTCTCAAATATTTCGCCGGTATCGTGTTCATGCCCAGCTTAGTAACAACGAGTTGAAACGTCATACTTAGACTGGCTTCTTCAGAGGCTGTTGAAAAATAAATAGCTGAGCAGACGCGAAATTGGTCTCTTTCTGAATTTATTTTCTAAGCATAATTGTAGATTTTAAGTTCGAATTATGAAATTAATGATGTTGGTAGATTTGCATTCCGCAGATTTTAATTAGTGAGGCCAGGTGATAAATAATTTGACGAAAAGTCAAGCTGAGCATAATTTTCCATCATTATTAGGTCGACATTGTTTGAGAATATGTAGGAGTTGGATGAGGGGAAAATTCTCTTTTTGGGCCAGACACTGTTTTCCCATTCCACTAAGATGCTAAAATTACCGAGAAAATGAGGTGAATCATGGTATGAATAAAAAGTGTTTCAGTGGAGATAAAAACGACACGCAACGGTGGCTAGCACTAGAGTTTTCTCTACTTTTGCGAGATGCCTGGCCTTCGAATATATAGTATCTGTCCGAAATTCGCAAAGCAAGGTTCGTAATTAAAGATCATCGTAACGACAAAGCATCTATATTTGTTAATAGTATATTAAGACAAATCTTCACGTATTTGCGGTTTTGAGTAGGCAATTTTTATGAATTGAGGCGAAGAACAACTAATAAAACATCGGGATGTGTTTATATACTCTTTTGTAGTATCGGTGTACATGTACATTACGGTAACATTAGATCAGATTCCAAAGAGTATAGCATGAAAATAGTTAAGAAAAGTAATAATCCCGTAAGTGACGAACTGCGTAAGAAATCGTAATAATAAATTATATCTTCTGCCATGGGATCATTTATGTCTCCAAATTTTACGAACAACTATATGCCACATTTAAGGGATCGGCTAATTCTAAAGGTAATTTTACATCCCATGTTATGGCTTAGATATGGAGAAGAACTTAACATCAGTGCAAATAGAGTCTGGACACATTACTTTATTCAATGAACAAACTTGATGGAATTATAAAGAATGGCCTGATATACTGTTTAGCTGCTATTAAAGTAGATATTAATTTGTGTGGAGATGTATGTAGGAATCTTACAAATGTAAGATTTTACTCATTCATACTTATGGGAATTTTTAAAGGGATTACTAAATTAGTTGTAACTATAAAACTATTTATAATCGAGCTAAATTATCGGGTTCAAGAGATAAAGTGGTTATTACAATTTTGGTTCAGAAGCATTATCCATTAGGATTATTTGTAAATTTTTTCATATTATAAAATGTGATGAAGGGAAACTGGGGAATAGGGACCTGGTGTGACCATCGTATGTACTTCCAAAATCTTTTAGCAATCTACTGAAGAATTGGGATTATATAAGCATGCAATAGCGAAGCAATCATCGTCTTCAATCAAGCCTTCTTTTTAAGTGTTTCTGACTTACTTTTGCGATCTTATCAATATAAAGCTTTGTGTTAGTTTCGTATCATGAATGAGGAACAGACCCGAAGACTTTATCTCAAGACGATACGACATGAAAACATTTGTGGCTCCCAAAAGAACCTCAGATAGATTGTTCTAAAGTCAAATAATTCACAGGAATTCGAGCTTTAAAAATGTGTGGAAATTGAGTTAGACTATATAAAATACCAGTAAAGCAGATATATGAATCGTGTTCACCCCATTTCGTTTAAGGTAATGAAGGAATGTTAGTTGATTTTTCCCACAAGGATCAGAGTAGAGCTGATGTTTCTAATGAATTTCATATACCCTTGCTTTCCCAAAAGTTGTTATCAGCCAGGGTAAAATGCAGTTCCGACCTCGAAGTTAAGACCTATGCGAGGTCGAAACTGCAGCTCTACTCATACCATTGTGGAAAAATTCATCTACCAGTGCTTCATCACTCTAAACAAATAGATTGAACACACCTCTATATAAATAACCAAGATAAACAACAAAATGAATAGACTTAATAAATATAGGAAAATGTCTCTTAACAACCTGTGGCTATAGGAGAGGATTAGGATTAGATTACCATTAGATCTTATTTATGAGCTGTGTCCACCCTATTTGGTTTAAGGTGGGTGGACAGAAAGTTGAATTTTCATACAATCATATAAATAGGCCTAACTTATGCATTTAATCTTCAAATGCCTTGCTTCCCAAAAGACAATTATGTGAAATTAAATCAAAACATGATACCTACTCATGTAATTGTGGAAGAATACAGCCTTAAAAAATACAGTGAATACCGCTTTTATTTACTGAAACTTCTAGTGCTTAAGCCAGTTTCGAGGAAATCTTTTTCGATTCAGTGAAAACATGTAAAGATTTTATCTGCCATATGATGGGGAACATAAGCTGAGGTCACAATTCTTAAATGAGAACTTCGTCACACTAAATCAATTAAAGGGATGTAAATGTTGATAGCTCAGTTTTTACACAAACCGATAAGTAGACCTCGCGATGCAATTGGATTTCACTTAAGCCAAGGCTCCTAACACTTTATCTTATTCAGGCTCGACTACATGCTACACCTTGCCTAAGTCTCAACTGTACCACTAACAGGATTCGATTCCGGGTCGTGAGTCTCGTGGAAACGTCACCACTTCTCTACACAGCCACGGATATCATAGGATTAGAAGGCTTATTTGAAATCCAAGAAAAGCCAAACCTCTAACAGCCTATATCTATCTTGGGATCGTCGATTATGCGACTTCGTGTTTTTTCCATTACGATATAGAGGTTACTCAATTGGTTTATGAGTAGTTTTCGCGACAATGATTAATTCTTGAGTAAGAATTTTGTCAGAATAGGTTGCTTAGTGTCGTTAAAAAAGTAATAATTAGGTTTTTCCACACTCGAAGGAATAAGCCCCATTCTTAAAACTATATTCAAGCTAGATT